GAGCTGCCCCGGGCTGCGGGGCGGCTGCTCCGGGGCCCTGATCCCGCAGCGAGGGCGATGGGAAGAGCCGGAGCTGCTTGGAAGGAGCCGTGATAGCTATTCCTAGACATTCCCTACAGGGGTTTTCCTTACCGTGACCTGAAAACCTCAGAGAAGGGCTTTCGTGACCTGTTCTACAGCCTGACTCTGCTTTGGTTAGAGGCACCTGACACATCTGTGCTGACATGCCAGCGCTGCAGAACGTCCCGTTTGCGCCGGCCTTGTAAAACGGTGGTTTGCTGTGTTTTGCTAGTAGTGTGTTTTGTATTGGAAGGCAGTTGTCATGTGTCCTTTCAATCTTCTCATTTCTAGAGAAAACAAACCTACTTCTTTCTCTCCAAGCTACATTTCCTGGAATTTGATTCCTCTTGGCACTGTCCTCTGGAATTTATCCTGTTTGCCTACCTCTTTCCTGGACGTGGTGCCCGGGACGGGCAGTGCTGCTGCAGGGAGGTCGTTTCTGGCGCCTGGGCGCTCCTCGAAGCTGGAGATGAGCTCTGCAACCAGCTGGCCCAGGGCGTGAGCCTTCCCCGGGAGCCTTTGCACCCTGCCTGGAACGTTCTGACCGCTCCGACCGTGGCCTCTGCCCTGTTTGCTGATGAGTCAGGACGAAAGTGCTCTACAAACTCGACTCCTTCCTCCTTTGCAGTCAGAGCTTGTTTGTTTTCTCTGGATCTCTGCAGCAGCAGAGCCCAAACCTTACCTGTTCCCGAGTGAGGAGTGGTGGCCGTTTCCTGTGAACCTCCTGGCAGGGGTGGAGAGGTGCCACCACGTGTTGGACCCTGGAGGTCCTGTCAGGTTGCAAATGGACTGATTTATAATGGCATGAATCAGGAAACGCTGCACTATTCCTCTGCTGTAGAAGTTTGGTCTGTACAGGCCCGCAGCACCGTAGTTGGAGTATCTAAATGCTATACAAGAGTTCAGGGGTTGGTGTTTTGTTTTGTTTTAAGGCTTTTAACAGTCACTGTTTCATTCTGTAGCTACGGGGATTTCCAGACCTATACTCGTGTGAGGAAAAACAGAACATTCATCTGCAAGCCCGACAGCGGCTGCCAGGGCAGAGGAATCTTCATCACACGTAATGCGAAGGATATCAAGCACGGAGAGCATATGATTTGTCAGCAATATATCTCTAAGGTAACAGGGACTGTCTTGCAGCGCGTGTGAGACTCCAGCTCCTCCTCGTCTCCTCTGCCCGGCTTCTCCCAGGCTCAGCCTGGGCCTCGCCGCGGAGCCGTGCCGTCACACCTACCGTTTCCCATCTCATTCCCGTTTCTGCCTTTTGTCTCACAGCCCTTCCTTATCGATGGCTTTAAGTTCGACATGCGTGTCTATGTGCTGGTCACCTCCTGTGACCCGCTGAAGGTATTTGTCTACAAGGAGGGGCTAGCCCGGTTTGCTACCATGAGGTACATCGAGCCCAGCAGCAACAACCTGGTAAAAAAAGGAAGTTTCCATGAAACTCACACTAGTATTCATAGGTTCTAGCCACTATTTTGTCCAAGGGGCATTCCAGACCCTGGAAAGTCGGGCTCATGGGTTTCCTAGCTCTTGTCTTCCCCTCTCTCTGTAGTTTCTCTTCACACAAGGCTTTTCAGGAGTATTTGCAAGACAGAGATTCCCTGGTCCTGCAGTTGGGCTGTTCACTGGCCTTACCTCAGAATTGTAGAGTTGTTTGCGCTGGAGACAACTTTGGAAGATCTCCAGTCAAACCCCGGTTCAAAATAGGGTCGACACTGGGCTGTTCACTGGCCTTACCTCAGAATCGTAGAGTTGTTTGTGCTGGAGACAACTTTGGAAGATTTCCAGTCCAACCCCGGTTCAAAATAGGGTTGACACCGAATTCAGATCAGGTTGCTCCAGGTTTTGTCCAGTTGGGTCTTGAAAATCTCCAAGGACAAAGATACAAAGATTCCCTGGGGTCTCTGGACGCTGCTGCTGCTCCCCTTCATGAGCCACCCGGGCTCTGTGTCCCTCCTCGTCCCACGGGCAGCGGGAGAGGGAGCTGGGGATGGCCTGGTGGTAGCGGAACGGCCGGAGCCGGGAGCGCCGGGGCGGGAAGCGGGGCATTTTTTTGCGCGTGCCCGTCGGCAGGGTCCGTGCTGCAGGTCCCAGGGGCTGCAGGGCTGCTCCCTGCGTCCCCAGCGCGCACGGCGTCCGGCAGGAGCTACCCTGGGCTTCCCCCCGTCTCCCCACTCACCCAGGAGTGCTCATGGAAATGCCCTTTCCCTCCAGCGTGTGCATGTCGCAGAGAGCTCCTCTGCTTTCCGTGAATAAAGGAAAAAGAGTAATTTGCTGCAGCGTCTGCCCAGAGAACTCCCTTGTTTACTGGCGAGGCCCAGCCGGGATGGCCTTTGTGCAGCGCGTGGCCCCAGAGGAGGGAGGACGGGGCTCCCTTCCCCCGGGAGCCGCGGCAGGATTAACTCCTTGCTGCTGCGGGAAGCGGCAGCGCCGGGCGAGGTCGTCATGGGATTAGTTAGTACTCGTGGGACTCGGGGACTGTTTTTCTGTTTGCGCTCTGAAGTTAAGAATAAATGAAGGTCTCTTGCGGTTCCTCTCTCAGGACGATATCTGCATGCATTTGACCAATTACTCTATCAATAAACATAACGAAAACTTCGTCCGGGATGACACAGTGGGCAGTAAGAGGTATTGTCGTTTCTAGATGCTACAACTCCTCGTGCACATCCTGCAGGAAAGCTGCATTTGGGACACTCGTTTACTTCATTCTTTCTTGGGGAAAATGCGGAATCATAGGTCAGCTCTTATCATCTTCTGTCCTCCGCACAGGAAACTGTCCACCCTGAACGCCTGGATGATGGATAACAGCTACAACACAAAGAAACTCTGGGAAGATATTGAAGATATTGTTATAAAGACCCTTATTTCAGCTCACCCCGTTGTGAAGCACAATTACCAAAGCTGCTTTCCTAACCACACTACTGGCTGTGCCTGCTTTGAGATACTGGGTTTTGATATTTTGCTAGATAGAAAGTTGAAACCGTGGCTGCTAGAGGTGAGGAAGGATTCTCCTGCTGCGCTGAAACCGCTCGGGAAACGGCAGATAGCCGAGGGCCAATAGCTCGTCTGTGGGAAGCGCTGGAACAAAGAGCTGTGGGATGGGCAGGACTTGCTTAAGGTTGATTAAAATGTGAACAAGGTGGCTCAAAGTTAAACAGGCTGGGAAGACAAGTGGCCAAGCAACCTGCAGGCTAAGCAAGCCTAGCTCAGCAGGTCTGAGGTCTCGTTCCCTCTCCCACTCCGTAACAGCAGGGAGCTTCCCTGCGCCGCGGCTCCGCGGCTGCCCTGCTCCTGCGGCTGCAGCAGGGACGGGGAGG